TGTAGACATTTGACTTGTCTGCATTTGGGTGGTGCTGAAAATATAAGAAAGTCAGATAAACCAGCTGAACTCTAAAGTTTATCAGTTTTGAAAAAGTAATTGTTTCAAAATTAAGAACAAGTGTTACATTTTGAGTGCTTGCAAATTTTGTTTAGATTAATACGTTAAAGGGCAATAAAGACTTTTTTAAATAAATGTAATTCACAAATAAGAGTTTGAACTGCATGAGCATTTTGTTTGTACAAATAGTTATATGCCAATTAAATAGAGGAAGATTTTGATGATACCAAACGTTCCTGATAACATTTTGATACAACTAAATCTTGAGTCAAAAGTCAACGTATGATACATGATATTTTCAACATTGTTAGGAACAAATTTTCATTCATGACCATTTCGTGTATTATCATCAAATGTTAGAAAAACATGAGCTGGGTGAGTTCTGCCATTCTTTTTAACTACATGGGTACCTTCGTCCAATTCATCCAGATCCACCATGTCATGAGCGCACCCATCTCATTTCCAGAAAAGACACGCCATTGACCGCTGAAATTTATTTGTGTTAATCGCATTCATCCTCGAAAACTTACTCGATTTGGGTCATTGAGCGCATGAACCAAATTCATTGCTTTCTTGTGAGTATATGTATAATTATTGAAGGACTGCTGGCAAAAGGAGTAATCGACTAATTCAGGTTTCGCTCCGCGCGCCAGATGACTTTCTCTTACGCACTCATCGGTGTTCAATTGAAAAAGGCAATTTTTTTTGAAACATACTCTTTCTGCTTCTCAGCGATTTGGATTCTATCAGCATCTGGATCATTTGCGATTATGAATGTTGATCCATGTTCATCTGCAGTTTTGAAGGATAATGTGAGCACCTAAAAAAGACGAAATTCGAACAGGTCGAGATCCCAAATCATAGCCCACTTTGTGACCCTCTTCTGGATTCGGAAACTTCAGAGTAGTAAATTCTGGATCGGGATCTTGCTGCTCCTAGAAACAACACATACTTATGGCTATAGAATGACTTAAAGTAGAAATGGATCTGTCTAACCTTACCTTCACTGAAAAGAATGTATCCTTTGGAAATCCGAACTCATAGTACATGCGCTTTGCATATAGATAACCAACGCCATGGAATGCTGAGTAAGTTATTCTGAGCTTCGTCTTTTCATTAAGGTCCCTGAGTGAGTTTCAAGAGTACAGTGAGCAAGCTT